AAAGTAAGGATTGCTAAGTTTCGAGAACACCGTTCTGAGTCTTCAGGAACGAAGAACTATGGGCCTCAACGCAATCAAAGGAGAGAATTTGGAAGAGGACAATCCTATCAGAGACAACAACATCAAAGGGGACCCACAATTGAGTTTTCTCAGAACCGTGGTAATGGTCAAAACTATATGTCAGACTCACCAAGAGGACAATGCTTTTCTTGTGGAGGAGAACACTACAGAAAAGATTTCCCAGTAAAACCGTTAATATGCTTTAGTTGTAACAAGCTTGGGCATATGTCGTGTGACTGCCCGATGATTAAGAAGGAAGGAGATGGAGGCAATGGAAATTATCACAACCAAAATCCTGGTGGAGGGGTAGCTAGCAGGCCAAAAGCTAAGGGTAAAGTTTTTGCAATGAGCGGAGAAAAAACATCTAACTCTGACATGATGATTGGAGGTACATGTATTATCCGAGATACTCCTTTATCTGTGATGTTTGATTCAGGCGCATCACATTCATTTATTTCTTATAGTTGTGTGGAACGTTTGAATTTTACTACTATAGCATTGTCATTTGATTTGTCAGTGCATACCCCGGGTAATGATCCTTTTATCACTGCAAAAGCATGTTGGGAGTGTCCCATTAGTATAAATGGTAGAAATTTTGTAGTGAATCTCTTTTGCCTTCCTTTAAAAGGACTGGAGTTTATTTTGGGATTGAACTGGTTATCTGACAACCATGTCATTATAGACTGTTGTAAGAAGATTATTATGTTTAGAGATTTTGAGCAAAATAATTTTGAGAAGTCAAGGATTCAAAGTGCCAATTATGAAGATGTTTCCTTGAAGAAAGTTCAGGGATTTGTAATGTCTTTATTGGTAGAAGGAAAGGAAGAAAAGTTGGTTGATGTGCCAATAGTAAGAGAATATCCTGAAGTTTTTCCTGATGATATTCCAGGATTACCCCCAGAATGAGAATTAGAATTCAGTATTGATTTGGTACCAGGAGCAGGACCTATTTCCATAGCCCCATATAGAATGTCTCCATTGGAATTATCTGAACTTAAAAAGCAGTGAGAAGAACTCTTGGAGAAACAATTTGTTAGGCTGAGTGTGTCACCGTGGGGAGCACCAGTACTTTTGGTGAAGAAGAAGGATGGGAATATGCGGCTATGTGTTGACTACAGACAACTAAATAAGGTGACGATAAAGAATAAATACCCATTACCAAGAATAAATGATTTGATGGATCAACTATGCGGGGCAAAAATATTTTCAAAGATTGATTTAAGATCGGGGTATCATCATATTAGAGTACGATCTGAGGATATACCAAAGACTACTTTTAGAACACGCTACGGACACTACGAGTATTTGGTTATGCCTTTTGGAGTGACAAATGCTCCAACTGTGTTCATGAACTATATGAATCGGATTTTTCACCCTTTTCTGGATAAGTTTGTAGTTGTATTCATTGATGACATTCTTATATACTCAAAGAGCAAGGAGGAGCATGTTGAACACTTAAGAATTGTGCTGCAAATCTTGAGGCAAAAACAATTGTATGCAAAATTATCCAAGTGTGAGTTCTGGCTAAATGAAGTGAATTTTCTTGGACATGTCATTAATGAAGAAAGGATAGTTGTTGATCCAGCTAAGGTTGAGGCGGTCTTGAAGTGGGAACAACCAAGAACGTCACTAAAATAAGGAGTTTTCTAGGATTAGCAGGATATTATTGACGGTTTATTGAAGGTTTTTCTCGATTAGCTTACCCATTAAGCAAGTTGACACAAAAGGGACAATCTTTTGTGTGGACCCGACAATGTGAGACTAGTTTTCAAGAATTGAAAAACCGTCTTACTTCCTCACCGGTGTTAATTTTACCAGAACCTAACAAGAACTTTGAAGTGTATTGTGATGCATCTAAATTGGGATTGGGTTGTGTGTTGATGCAAGATAGAAAGGCAGTGGCATATGCTTCTCGACAACTGCGACCACATGAGATAAATTATCCCACCCATGATTTAGAATTAGCTGCAGTGGTGTTTGCTCTGAAGATTTTGAGACACTATTTGTATGGAGCAAAATTCATATTGTATAGTGATCATAAGAGCCTGAAATATCTCTTTGATCAAAAGGAATTGAATATGCGTCAAAGACGGTGGATGGAATTTTTGAAAGACTATGAGTTTGAATTGCAGTATCATCCCGAAAAAGGGAATGTAGTTGCGGATGCACTTAGTAGAAAATCTTTACATGCAGCATTTATGATGATAAGAGAAATGGAATTGATCGAAGAATTCCAAAGTCTAAATTTAGCAATTGGGTTTAGTTTCAAAAGTGTTACGTGTGGTACTCTTACTATCACTAGTGATTTTCCACAACAAGTACAAGAAGCTCAATTAGAGGATATTTTTCTCTGTGAGAAGAAGGAATTAGTTAAACAAGAGAAAGAAATCAAATTTGTGGAAGGGATAGATGGAATCTTACGTTTTAAAGGACGAATTTGTATCCCTTCTTGTCAGGAATTGTGAAAGACTGTTTTGGAGGAATCACATAAGAGTAACATGAGTATTCATCCCGGAATAACAAAGATGTATCAAGATTTGAAGAAAATATTCTGGTGGCCTGGGATGAAAAAGGAAGTGGCAGAGTATGTTGCAGCTTGCTTGGTGTGTCAAAAAGCCAAAGTACAACATCAAAGACCATTAGGGATGTTACAATCATTAGATGTGCCAGAATGGAAATGGGATAACATAGCTATGGATTTTGTAACTTCATTACCTCGAACACCAACTGGTCATGATTCTGTGTGGGTAATAATTGACAGGTTGACAAAATCTGCTCATTTTATTCCCATCAACATTTGTTATTCCTTGGAGAAGTTGACTCAATTGTACATTAAGGAAGTGGTAAGATTTCATGGCATACCTGCTAGTATTGTATCAGATAGAGACCCTCGTTTCACCTCAAGGTTCTGGACAAGTTTACATCAAGCTCTTGGGACAAAGCTTCGGCAAAGTTCTGCTTATCATCCTCATACTGATAGACAATCAGAATGAACCATTCAATCTTTGGAGGACCTACTACGAGCTTGTGTGTTGGATCACAAAGGAAGTTGGGATAAGTTCTTACCACTGATTGAATTTACATACAACAATAGTTTTCACGCTAGCATTGGGATGACCCCGTTTGAAACTCTTTATGGAAGGAAATGTCGAACACCATTATGTTGGTTTGAGACAGGTGAAAACTTACTTCTAGGTCCAGAATTGGTGCAACAGACCACAGAGAAGATTAAATTAGTTCAAGAGAAGATGAGAGCAACTCAAAGTCGACAAAAAAGTTACTATGACAAAAGAAGAAAGCCTCTAGAGTTTTAAGAAGAAGATCATGTGTTCTTGCGAGTCACACCTACAACTGGGGTTGGACGAGCAATGAAGTCAAGGAAACTCACGCCTAAGTTTATTGGCCCGTACCAAATAATGAAGAGGATTGGTCCAATAGCTTATCAAGTAGCTTATCAAGGAAACTCACAATCCAATAATGGTACTATTATATCTCAAAGAAAGTATGCATTGAATATTTTAGAGGAAACTGGATTGATGAACTCAAACTCTATGGATCCAATGCCAAACTCCTACTTAATCAGGGGGGTCTCTCTCAGATCATGAGAAGTATAGAAGATTAGTTGGAAAATTAAACTATCTTACTATTACTCGTTCTAACATTTCCTTTGCAATCAGTGTGGTGAGTCAATTTCTTAATTTCCCATGTGCATATCATTGGACTGTAGTCATCTGTATATTAAAGTACATTAAAGGATCTCCTGGAAAATGTTTGTTATATGATCACAATAACCAGGCTAAAATTGTTTGTTATTCAGATGTTGATTGGTCAAGATCTCCTTCTAATAGAAGATCTACTTTCGAATATTGCGTTTGTATTTTTGGTAACTTATCTCTTGGAAGAACAAGAAATAAAGTGTTGTGACAAAATCTAGTGCAGAAATAGAATATAAAGTTATGGCCTCAGCCACTTGTGAACTTGTTTGTCTTAAACAATTACGTAAAGAGTTACAATTTGGATATGTCACTCAAATGAAACTTATATGTGACAATCAAGTTGCTCTTCATATTAGCTCTAATCTTATCTTTCATGAAAGAACCAAGCACATTGAGGTTGACTATCATTTTATTCGAGAAAAGTTTGTATCTGGAGACATTAAGACCAAGTTTGTCAACTCAAATGAACAATTAGTTGATATTTTCACTAAGTCTTTACGATGACCTAGAATTGATTATATTTGTAACAAGCTTGGTACATATTATTTATATCCACCAGCTTGAGGTGTTAGATATTGTTAGTCACAATATCTTATAATTACCATATTTATGTATATTTGCCATATTTTCCTGTATTACTCTTCATTATAAATATATTACCCTATTGTATTTTACACATAAGAGAGATTAACCCTATATCTAATTTTCACTATATTCAACAGTGGGGTATTCATTTGGTTTTACTCTCTCGAGTATATGTTTAAGTGATTTACTAATATGATTCTCTCAAATGGTTTACTCATTTGATTTAATCTAATTTGTCTGAACTATGTAGTGATCAACTCGACTGTCTAGGCCAACTCATTTAATGGTTAGCTCAAATATTTTGCTAGAATGGTATACCTATGTGAATTTTTCGAGTGGAGTATGTATCTAGTCTCACTCGTTTGATTGGTGACCAAACTAATTCACCTGGTCAGTTCTCTTTCTCTCTACTAATCAACCTGACTTCTCGTTACAAAACAACTATGTATAATTCATGTTTAGAAAAGAAAATAATGTAATTTAAATGGAAATCTTAAATATTAAACTTTTAATATTGGACTTTTATTGAATAATACAATATTTATGTTCTACCAACTCTTTGTTTGTCAAGAAGAGACACTTATATATACAAATACATGAGACATATCCTATTTTGTTAATTGTTCCTCTATGATTGTTTCAATTATCAGGTATCTTTGAAACAGGGGGTTTGAGTGGAGGATGAGCAAAAGCACCCTCAATTAATCCCTTTGCTATTAGTCTATATGCTGCTTCAGTGAAATGAAATCCATCCCAATTTATATGTTTTGAAGGATGTTCACAAGGTTTTGCATCACCAAATCCACATCACCCACGGAGACGGTATCCTTCACCTACTCCACAACATACTCTAAAGGTGTCGATTTTACCGGAAGGAAAGCCTGCAGTACATAAATTAACGAATATAATAAGAATAAAGTCTAACAAAATTTGCACTCACATGTATCTATTTATTTATTATTCAGCTAATTAAAAAAAGTACTACTCACCATATTTTTGTGGCGCTTGAAATAAACGTTTGGCAGATCCATAGTAATCAAAATATGTTATTTTAACATTTGGGTTATTTTTTCTCAATGTCTCTATAGCTTGTTTGAGTTGCTCATTATAGTTTTTTATGATAGCATTGTAAGATACCAAGCAGCCAAATTGATCATAGTCGTCTTTCTTATCACTATTCATTGTATTCAAAACAAATGAATTGCATCCGATAGGAAAGTTTCCGGGAACCACTATCTCAACTGCCCCTTCTTTGATTATTTTCTGTTGAATAAAAATAAAAATATAATCAAATTTCTAATAAATCATATTTAGATCAAGTTGAAATAAACTATTGAAATGTAATAAGTTGAAATAAATTTAACACCACATACGGAGGTGAGTTTGGCAATTATGTCAACAATGTGTGGAATAAATTCTCGAATTTCGGTAATATTTTTATTTGGGATAATTGCATTAATGTCATTCCCACCAATCTCACCCACCAAAAATAATGAATTTTTCATGTAACTATCACACTCTGTCATAAGAAGGAACAACATTGTTAGTCATTGAAAAAAATAAAAAACTTTGTAAAAATGCTATTAAAGGATATTTAGTAAAACCTGTTTTGTTTTTACAAAGCGAGGGTTTGAGTTTATTAAACCAATCAATTTGAGTACTCAATGAATAAGCAGCCGCCTTTACGTCGAGTCCTCTCTTATCGAAAAAACTTTTATCAAGTGCAGTTGAACCAGAATATGCAAAATTTACTCCTCTTTTAATGTCTTGTCCTTTTGTGAGATTCAAATAGGCTGGCAACATTGGTAGCCCATATGCCTCAGCTAAAATGAAAATCATCGTATGTTAGTAAAATTAACATTGTGTGATTCTTAGGATATATTGTCATATCCTCCCTTTTTTTTTACATTTAGTCAATATTGTTTAAGTCATCTGGTAAGAGAGTATAAATACCTATGAAGTCTATGATTAATCGTCCATCTGACAAACGTCCAGCAGGATGTTTAAAGTATGTTAAACCATAAGGAGAATCAGATGGAAATGGTTCATGAAAAGCAGCATTTCCGGTGTCACTTATAGAGTCACCAAAGTTGAAAATCGCTTCATATGGAAGAGAATTGTTGTGTGAAACAACATTTCTAAGGAAACCAAAAGCAAAGATTATGGAAAAGAGAATGGAGATCTTCAACATATTTTTTTAAGCTATGATAACAAAGCTTTTCTGTGTTTTTCTGTATTGAAAGTTTCATTTTAAGAGATTTATATACTGTCACACCGACCGTCCATTTGTCTTGTAATATATTTTTTATTTTAATTTTGACAAACTATAATTTTGATAGTTCTTAAAACAGTGTATCACAAGTTCTAATATAAGATATCGAAACCAAAACATGTTCTCGACATGCTATTTTTTTGTTGTTGTATTGAATTTTTCTACTGTTTTCATCCACACAATTAAATCTATATAATGGGATCATAAATGCAAACATGATAAAATTGTTATATATGTAAATATGAAATTAGTCTTCATCCTTCACTAAATTACTTTTAGTGTTGCAAATATGTTTTGAAACAACAATTTCTTTTAAATACATTTTTTAGGAACGAAATTATTATCATGTTGGTATTCGAATACCAACATTGGTAGGATGTCAAAGTTCTATGGTAATATTTTGTTAGAATGTCATCTTTTATATCATGATGGTATATGGTAAACTTATGATGTGTAATTACAAGCTTTCTAATATAGTTTTTATCATTATAAAACATAGACATTCATTAATATGCTTTAATATGAATGTGTTTTTATAATGTATTGATTACAATTTTGATTGTAAATTACAAATAACACTTTCTTTTTAATGTACAATAAACAATTGGTGTGCTTATTAGAAAGAGATTGCTATATAAATAAAGTAGTACTTACAAACATACTTATAAAAAAAATAATAGGAAAAGTGAGAAGTGCAAATAAAAAGAAATAAAGTTGAAACCCCGAGGAATGAGAAATAGAACCAGCGATATATAAAATTATATAGTAAAATTAGAAGCCATAACTTATTTTTTTCTAGCTTTAAGGACAAAAATGTGATTCACATAAGACAATACATACATTAGATATAGTTATATGATAAGGACATTACTATGAGTAAGGGCAAAAACCTACTTGAAATATTTGGAGGACCTATGACAAAGCTAGAACAAGATAAATAAAGGAAGTTCTTCAATAAATATTGTCCATATTATTTGAATACAAGTCCACGTTTCAAGGTGAAAAGACCAAAGTTGTGAATTGCATCATGGCCCATATGAAGGAAGACTAATACGTCACTTTGTTTCAGTCTTTAAGTTTGTTTAAATAATGGTTCAATCCTTTGTAAAATTGATTGAACAAATTATGTTTTGAGTTAATCAATTAATGAGTTTTAGTTTGATTTTGTTACTTCTATTGATGATTATTTCAGAAATACTTGGTTGTTTCTAATGAAAAATCGTTCTGAGTTGTTTTCTATATTCCAATCCTTTTAATGAAATTAAAACTCAGTTTCAGATTTCTATTGAAACTTTATGAAGTGACAATGGTCGTGAATACCTTTCCCATTCTTTTAAATATTTTATGGCTTCTCATGACATTTTACATCAAACTTCATGTGTTTATCCACCTCAACAAAATGGGGTGGTTAAGCACAAGAATAGACATCTTGTTGAAACAACTTACACTCTTTTAATCCATAGTGAGGTTCTCAACATTTTTAGGGTGATGTTGTTCTTACTACATGTTATCTTCAGTTTTAAATAACAAAATTTCTCATTCTCTTTTATTTCCTCATGAATCTATACATCCTTTATATCTTAAAGTTTTTTGGTCTACATGTTTTGTTCATAATTTTGGTCTTGGTCTTGATAAGTTATCTTCTAGATCACACAAATGTGTTTTTTTTAGGATTTACTCGATCATAAAAAGGATATAAGTGTTTCTCTCCTTCTCTTAACCATTATTTTCTTTCTACATATGTTACCTTTAATGAGTCTTCCTTTTACTTTAAGTGTCCTTCTTCTCCATGTATGTCTTTGTCTGCTACAGTTAATATTCTTGATGTGTGTGATTCTCCTATTGTGCCTAATCCACCTTTGGGTTTATAATCAAAGAAACAATATCAACAACTACCAAATGATTCACTTCTAGTATAAACTCTTTTGTCTCCTCTAGCTCCAACAACTAAGTTTGATCTTCCAATTGTCCTCATTAAAAGTATACGTTCTACCCAAAATCCCTCTTCTCATTATACTACTTTGAGTTACCATAGATTATCTCCATATTTTTATACATGCCTTTCATTTATCTCTTTTGTGTCAATTACCAAATTCGTAAGTGATGCCTTACCCATCTTATTTGGTGTCAAGTAATGCTTGATGAACTGAATGCTCTTCAGAATAATGAAACTTGGGATCTCGTCTCATTATCATCTAGAAAATATGTTGTTGGTTATAGGTGAATTTTTGCTATCAAAGTTGGCTCTAATGGTACTATTGATTGTCTCAAAACTTATCTTGTGACCAAATGTTACACACAAATTTTTAGTTTGGATTATGGTGATACTTTTTTTCAGTGGCAAAGATGACTTTTGTTCACTTATTTATAATCATGGTTTCTCTTCAACAATTGTCTTTTTACCAACTGGATGTCAAAAATGTTTTTCTTAATAAAAATTTGTAGGAAGAAATTTATATGGAGTAACCTTCAGGTTTTATTAGAAAGAGATTGCTATGTAACTAAAGTAGTACTTAAAAACATACCTATAAAAAGTAATAGGAAAAGTGAGAACTGCAAATAAAAAATAAATAAAGTTGAAACCCCATGGAATGGGAAATAGAGCCAGCAATAAACAAAATTATATGGTAAAATTAGAAGCCATAACTTTTTTTTTCTATGGAGACAATAACTTATATATGGTTATATGATGTTAACAAAGTGGACTTGAGGTAGAAATGTTATGTTTGGTGTATAGTGAAATAGGTGATGAATGCATAGAATAACATGATAAAAGACTGAGACTTGAAACTAGAATAAAAATTTATATTTCTTTGTATTGGGCCTTTACCCTTTTAATTTTTTTTCTATGTTTATTTTAATTAGAAACTCCTTTACCATGAGTTTCTTTAGGCTAATTAGATTACTTAGGCTAATTAGATGACTTATTGGATAAGCATGAGTAGTGAATGAGTCTAATAATCTTAGGAGTTTTCTCACTTTGTAAGACATTGAAGCAATTCTCTCTACGTTCTGTTGAAGAACTTTTTTTACTTATCAATTTTAAGGTGACGAATTTCCAATTTTTAATTTGTAGTTATAAATCTTCAATTTGTACTTATAAATCTTATTTGACTTATCCATGTTGATTGTCGCATTTTTGGTGTATCAATCAATTTTGTGGCATCTTCTTCGTTATTAATCTTCGTACGCATTTATATTTTCTTTAATTATTCAATGGAAATTGTACAAAATATTCTATTTGTAATACATAATTTGATCTCTATCATTTGGTATTCAAAGAATTATTAGTCCTTCAAAAGAAAAAAGCATTTGGTTTAACGTGAAACATCAATAAAAAATTTAATTGCATTATAAAAGTACATTTCCATAGCTAAATCTATATCAACATTGGTCTCCAATAGGATTTCGGTCATAAGTAAGTACATTGTCACGTATTTCTGTCATTAAATTCATAACTAATTCTATTTGCATTTTTATTCATGTATTTGAAGTGTTTAGTGTATTAAATCTTGGTAAATCATGTTTACTGAATGATATAATGGATTTTGTAAAAATTAGCATTTCAAGATGAAGGAATTAATTGAACATGATTGCCTCGTCTACTTTCTTATTTTAGAGTCATACGTTCCTCTGTTAGTTTTTGTGGTTTCATAAATTGTTGATAGTTGAATACTATTTGAATTAATTTCAAGTTTAACGTGCTAGTAGTTTGAATTAATTGATTGACTCCAAATATAGAGATAAAGTGTTTAAACTTTGTTTGTGAATCATATGTTAATGTTGTATTTAACAAAGATTATAAGAAAATAAGAAGCACTTGAAAAGTAATAAGAATTTACAAACCGTGAAGTATAAAAAAATTAGAAGATAATTGTTAAATGTAAAAATTCAAAATTATTTTCAATCTTGGATGCAATATTGATTGTTGATTTTATTGGTTTCACGAATTGATCTTAACATTTTGCATGTCTTTATCTTCTCACTTATGTTGAATTTGAATATTGATTTAATTATGATCAAATAATTTCTAGTAGTAATTCTAAATTCCTTCTTTAGGTTACTTTGCTAATCTTTTAAAAGTGCTTTTCTCCTTCACTTAATTCTTAGTTTTCGTCTTATATTCTATTCTCTTTGGTTTAGACTTTTTTTTTTTTTTTTTATTCTGTACCTTTTAGTTTGTATTCGAATTTCCAATTTCACTTGAAACTTTTTATCTAGACTTGCATTGTTAGAACTCTAGTGTAAAATAGGTTTTCTACATTATCTTATTTTTTGGAATTACAAAATAATCGACTTAAAGAAAAATGCAATGGTAGTTTCAAAAATAATAGTACGAGTTTGTATGTCGGATTTCATAAAGACTGACGTAAAAATAATTTTTTTACGTTGAGTGGCCTCTTAACTGACGTAAAATGTGAATTTTACATCAGCATTTATGAGATCCAACATAAAACTTGCATTTTATTCTCATCCAGGATCATTTCTTTCTCACACAGGCGAGGGTTTTTAAGATAACCACAGCAACAACGACCATTGCAGCACCTCCAAGAGTTTTTTTTATTTTTATTTTTTTACCACTGTGATGTTTATCTCTTATTGGATTCAAATTTTAGAATGTCTTGTGTATCTTTGAGGTTAGTGTTCTATGTCTTTAGTTTTATGTTTAAATTGAACCCACAATTGTTTTTGGGGATCTCAATCATGATATTGTATGAAGTCTCCACTGTATTGTTATTGAAATTAAGTTGTTATTGTTTGTGATTGTTTATTTATTCGTTTGAGTGTTTATACTGTTTATACACTGTATTATTATGTTTTCATGGTTTATTTGTTTGAGCCCCACATTTTTTTTGTTTGTATATTATTTTTTATTTAAATATGAATGTGTTTGATTCTCTTGGAGTAACAAAATTTAT